GATCTCGGGCAGTAGCAGTTCCTCATCATCGGAAGAATCTGAGGGCGAGGATGGAGAAATGGGCCACAGCCTTGAAAAGAAGCCTCGAGAGAGCAAGCTGCTGCAACCTGTAGGATGTGTGATGGTTGGTGTTATGTGTAGCAACTTATGTGAAAGGCCCTCGATCGTCTCAAGAAGCGTAGGAAGAAGAAGGAAATGGACTCGGGAGAGAAGTGAGATTGGCTGATTGATTCTTGTCTCTTCACTCGACGTTTCAGATTCGAGAGAATGGAGTCATTGGTGAATAGTATGTATGATGTATCGGCCGCGGATCGGGAGTCCTTGACCACTGGTAGCTATTAGTTGATTTTGAACTTCGATTTCAGCGTTCACGTCCATGTCAGGACAACCCGCATTAGCGAAATTACAGATGCTGGAGAAAATCCGCGGAATTCTTGTTAAGCAGGTAGAGTCATGCGCTATCTCAATTAATCAGAAATGTTTGGTAGGCTTGGCAAGAGCCTTTCATTGAGGCTGGAGGACTCTCCGCGATAGCCGACTGGCTTGCTCTTGTTGGTGAGTCTTGTGCTATTATTGGGAACTGCTAATCTAATGCGACTGCAGGTGCAAAAGGGGCGCTGCCAAACTACAATGTCCGTAGAACGCTCTTAGATGTGAGTCTATCCTAGGAGACCACCGAAATTCGAACGCTTGCTTCAATTGTTTAGTTACTCAATAACCAGCTCCTCCCTCATATAACATTAGATGTCTTGAAGACAAGTCGAGTTGGCTGGGCAGTGAAGGACATGTACTATCACAAGGACGAGACTACTGAGAACACTGTGAGTCCACTCAGAGCATCAACATGCTTTCAACAGGATCTCCTTCCAGGTTATCGAGGAACAACTCATCCAGCACTGGCTCAAGCTTATCCAGAACCAAGGGAATGAAAGTCGAGGCAACATATCGAAGTAAGACTTGGCCGTGCCGTGAGATGGTATGGAATTTGCTCCTACTGTATCGAGGTATATCAAGGCCACCGCTGAGGATATGCGGCAA